TCTCATTTTAACCCTGAGCTACAAAAGTTCTCCTTTATTGGAGGGGTGTTTGTATGAAACAATGACTGTCACCACAATACAAAAAAGATGTTGAGACTCTAGAAAGAGTGCAGAGAAGAGCAACAAAGATGATCAGGGGACTGGAGGCTAAAATATATAAAGAACGGTTGCTGGAATTGGGTAGGTCCAGTTTAATGAAGAGAAGGACCAGGGGGGACAGGATAGCAGTCTTCCAGTAGTTGAGGGGCTCCTACAAAGACGAGGGGGTCAGGCTACTTTCCAAAGCCCCCAAAGGCAAGACCAGAAACAATGGATGGAAACTGACCAAGGAGAGAAGCAACCTAGAAGTAAGGAAACGTTTCCTAATGGTGAGAGCAATCAACAGCTTGTCTTCAGAAGTTGCCCATGCTCCATCACTGGAGGCTTTCAAAAAGAGACTGGAGAACCATTTGTCTGAAATGGTATAGGACAGGGGTCTTCCAACTCAGTCCTTTTATGACTTGTGGGCCTCAACTCCCAGAATTCCTCAGCCAGGCATGCCTGGCTGAGGAATTCTGGGAGTTGAAGTCCACAAGTCATAGAACGGCCAAGTTTGAAGAGCCCTGGTCTAGGATCTCCTGCCTGAGAAGGGGGTGGGACTAGAAGACCTCCAAGGTCCCTTCCAACACTACCATTCTATGTTTCACAATGCAAATCCCCGATCCCTCCTGTCCACCCAGGTGTATTATGCCATCGGGGCCCTGGCCAAGTCCGTGTATGAGAAGATGTTCAGCTGGATGGTGGTCAGGATCAACAACTCTTTGGAGACCAAGCAGCCTCGGCAGTATTTCATCGGCGTCTTGGACATTGCAGGATTTGAGATCTTCGATGTAAGTCCATGACAACAGGGTCTACAGGGAGCAGGGGGAGACCCGTGTAACCTCCATTGGTGGGTTGACTTTGGGTGGTCCTTCCTTCCTTCCTTCCTTCTTTCCTTCCTCCCTTCCTCCCTCCCTCCTTCCCTCCCTCCCTTCCACTCACTCATTCACTCACCCACCCATCCATCCATCCACCCATCATTCCATCCATGCATCCTTCCATCTTTCCTTCTTCCTCCCTCCCTCTGTCCCTCCCTTCCACTCACTCACTCACTCACTCACTCACCCACCCACCTACCCATCCATCCATCCATCCATCCATCCATCTATCTTTTCTTCCTTCCTTTTCCTTCCTTTGTTCCTTCCTTCCTCCCTTCCTCCCTCCCTTCCTTCCACTCACTCACTCGCATCCATCCATCCGTCCTTCCTTCCTTTATTCCTTCCTCCCTCCCTCTCTCTCGTCCACTCACTCACTCACTCACCCACTCACCCACCAACCCATCCACCCACCCACCCATCCATCCATCCATCCTTCCATCTTTTCTTCCTTCCTTTTCCTTCCTTTGTTCCTTCCTTCCTCCCTCCCTTCCTTCCACTCACTCGCATCCATCCATCCTTCCTTCCTTCCTTTATTCCTTCCTCCCTCCCTCCCTCTCTCTCGTCCACTCACTCACTCACTCACCCACTCACCCACCCATCCATCCATCCAATCTTTCCTTCCTTCTTTCCTTCTTTCCTTCTTTCCTTCTTTCCTTCTTTCCTTCTTTCCTTCCTTCCTTCCTTCCTTCTTTCCTTCCTTTCTTCCTTCCTTCCTTCCTTCCTTCCTTCCACTCAACCCACCCATCTTTCCACCCATCCATCCATCCATCCATCCATCCCCCTCCATCTACCCTTCCTTCGTTCCTTCCTTCCTTCCTTCGTTCCTTCCTTCCTTCCTTCCTTCGTTCCTTCGTTCCTTCCTTCCACTCACCCTTCCTTCCTTTATTCCTTCCACTCAACCTTCATTCCTTCCTTCCTTCCTTCCACCCACCCACCCACCTATCTATCCATCTTTCCATTATTCATCTATCCCTCCCTCCCTCCATCTACCCACCCTTCCTTCCTCCCTCCCTCCCTAATTTCCAGGAGCCTTGACCTAACTGATGGTGGTCCCTGCTGAAAAAAGAAAAAAAAAAGTCTGATCTTCTGGAAATGCTCACCTGCGCGAAGGTCCATAACTTCCTTTCCCCTCCCCTCCCCCCCCAGTTCAACAGCTTTGAGCAGCTCTGCATCAACTTCACCAACGAGAAGCTGCAGCAGTTCTTCAACCACCACATGTTTGTGCTGGAACAAGAGGAGTACAAGAAGGAGGGCATCGAATGGGTCTTCATTGACTTCGGCATGGACCTCCAGGCCTGCATCGACCTCATTGAGAAGGTAAGTTGGGGAATCGGATAAATCTCGTATCGTTTCTTCCTCAAAGTGTATCTCAGATGAACTTCCCTGAACCACAGTTGGGTTATTAGGAGCTCAACAACCCCTTGATCAGTTGGGAGCAGAAGAAAGAGGATTCAGATTCTAGGAAGATCTGATTCTTCTGGTTTAACAGAATAATGAGTTGGAAGGGACCTTGGAGGTCATCTAGTCCAATCCCCAATCAGTCCAGTCTCTTCTTAAAAGGAGGAGGGGGGAGGAGGAGGAGGAAGAGGAGAAGGAGAAATAACAGAGCTGGAAGGGACCTTGGAGGTCATCTAGTCCAATCCCCAATCTCTTCTTAAAAGGAGGAGGAGGAGGAGGAGGAGGAGGAGGAGGAGGAGGAGGAATAACAGAGCTGGAAGGGACCTTGGAGGCCATCTAGTCCAATCCCCAATCAGTCCAATCTCTTCTTAAAAGGAGGAGGAGGAGGAGGAGGAGGAAGAGGAGGAGAAGGAGAAGGAGAAGGAGGAATAGCAGAGCTGGAAGGGACCTTGGAGGCCATCTAGTCCAATCCCCAATCAGTCCAATCTCTTCTTAAAAGGAGGAAGAGGAGGAGGAGGAGGAATTTCAGAGCTGGAAGGGACCTTGGAGGTCATCTAGTCCAACCTCCTGCTCAAGCAGGAGACCTTATACTATTTCAAAGAGATGGTTGTCCATTCTCTTCTTAAAAACCTCCAGTGTTGGAGCACCCACAACTTCTGGTTAGACTGTGAATATAAGAAGTGGATGATAGTTCCTTGGTAAGACCACACTTGGAATACTGTGTCCAGTTTTGGTCACCACGATGTAAAAAAGATGTTGAGACTCTGGAAAGAGTGCAGAGAAGAGCAACAAAGATGATTAGGGGACTGGAGGCTAAAGCATATAAGGAACAGCTGCTGGAATTGAGTATGTCTAGTTTAATGAAGAGAAGGACGAGGGGGGACATGATAGCAGTGTTCCAATATCTCAGGGGCTGCCCCAAAGAAGAGGGAGTCAAGCTATTTTCCAAGGCGCCTGAAGGCAGGACAAGGAGCAATGGGTGGAAACTAATCAAGGAGAGAAGCAACCTAGAACTAAGGAGAAACTTCCTGACAGAACAATTAACCAATGGAACAACCTGCCTCCAGAAGTTGTGAATGCTCCAACACTGGAAGTTTTTAAGAAGAAACTGGACAGCCATTTGTCTGAAATGGTATATAAGTTCATGGTGACCGAACCCTAACCCTAAGTGGAATTTCCCTCCAATGGGATTTTCCCATGTATTTTACCAGGAAACATAGATAGGGCAGCCTAGAAAGGTCAGTGACTTCCTAACCATACCCAAGCACTCCGAATTTGTTGGCCATGTCCATTTTTATCTCCAAATTCATGGTGACGTAACCCTAACCCTAAGTCCTTGGTGGTGAACCTATGGCACGCGTGCCCTCTCTGTGGGCACGCACGCCGTCGCCCCAGTCCTAGGCCTTCAGCTGGGTTTTATAAAACCTTTTCGCTTTAGGCCTCCGCCGCCGTGTGCAAAAAAAAAAAAAGGTTCAATCAATCAATCAATTTCAACTTCTCACTGGAAAAGAAAAGATCTCGCAAAGTTGGAATTGATTAATTGAATTTTTTAATCCCATCCAGTCTGCCATTACCACCGCAGCCATGCCCATCCAATGGGCCACACCCACCCAATGGGCCACGCCTACCCAGGACACGATGATACATAAGTGGGTTTTGGGTTGCAGTTTGGGCACTCGGTCTCTAAGAGGTTCGCCATCACTGCCCTGTACCATTTCGG